TTCAAGGCCTGCCTGGGATACTGAGTTCAAGTTATGCCTTGACAGCTTAGTGAGTCTGTCTCAAAATAAGAAGCATAAAGATAATTGGGAGAGCTCTTCTGTGGAATAGTACTCCACTAGATTCGGTTCCCAGTAACAAATACACACATGCGCATGCACATACACGCACACACACACACCACACACACACACACACACACAGAGAGAGAGAGAGAATGAAAGAGGGAGAGAGAGGGAGGGAGGAAGGGAGGGAAAGAGAGAGAGAGAGAGAGAGAGAGAGAGAGAGAGAGAGAGAGAGAAGTAATGAAGACAGTAGGTCAGTACCATGGTTAAAGCTGGACGTGGTATACATGTTTGTAATCCCAGGGCTGGTAATGACAAGAGGGAAGGATCCCTGGAGTTTACTGGTCAGCATCCTAACCAAATATAATCCCCAGGTTCCAGTGAGAGACCCTTTTTCGTAGAACAAGGTGGTGGGGCTGGAGAGTTGGCTTAGGGGTTAGGAACACAAACCCATTTTCTAGAATATCTGAATTTAGCTCCTAGCACCAGGGTTGGGAATCCCACAACTGTCTATAACTCCATCTCCAGGGACTCCAGTGACCCCATCTGAACTCTGTGGGCATCTGTGTTCGCAATGCATACCTACCTCAATGCAATATACATAATTAAAATTAAAATAAATCTTAATTTAAAAAACCAGTAAGGTGGACCATCCTGAGGAATGTACCTGAAGTTGATCTTTGGCCTCCACATACATACATACATACATACATACATACATACATACATACATACACACACACACACACACAAACACACACACACATACACACACATATCAAATATCTGAACAAACACTTCACTAAGAAAGAGATGAAGATGACCAGTAAGCATATGAAAACTTGTTAATCACCATTGGTCATTAGAAAAGTTCAAATCTGAAAATGAGATATCTCTGTACACCTACCTTGTGTTCCAATGACTATGCTCCCAAACTCCAACTTTATCAACATCTGGCAGGGATGTGGAGCAACCAGAAGCCTCATTTATGCTTGCAGTGTACCCAGGATGGATAGTCACTGTGGAACTTCTACAATTTCTCACCTTGCTAAATCAGGCTTAACATCTGTTCAAGGTATTTACCCAACCGATGAGAAAACCCATGGCCATGCACAAACCAGCGTGTGGATGTTTATAGCCGCTGTATTTAAAATCACCACACACTGCAAGCAACTAAGATGCCCCTCAATGGATGAATGAATGAGCAAGCTGGGATACAGTCAGGCAAACAAGCAAGCTACTAAATTTGGTTGCAAAGAAAGTCACACATGGGCTGGAATTTCATGCACTGAAGCACACTGTCCAACATGGCAGCTATTCGACACACATGGTCATGTGCATGTGTGGAATATGAAAGATTACTGGGAAGCTAACTATAGAAGTTTACTGTTGTAATTACCTAGGGTTTGAACACACACAAGTGTCTAGCAGCAGTTGCAGCACACAGTGCAGCTTGGAAATATTACAGTGTAGTCTTAGCACCTGCAAGGATCTCTAGCTCCAGGACTGGGGCCCCCTTTTACTTTCCTTTTCTTTATTTCTTTTTCTGCTTCTCTGGCTTTTTTATTATTATGATTATCAATTTAGTACTTCTTTCCTAGTTTTCATTCAATGGTGTGTCACATGGAAAGTGGGGATTTAGATAAGGTAAATATCTTACATAAACAAAGCTTTGTGTAGCACCCAGGGTAATGTTTTATACAGCCTGTGTGAACTCTTTGAACTCTCAAAATAAAATCCCTCATCCAAGGTTTGGGAAGTAGGTAAAGTACTTGCCATGCAAGTATGAGGAACTATACTGGATCCTCAGAACTCACACTCAAAAGCCAAGCGTAGTGTAAGTCAGACATGTATTATGCAACTTCATGTATGGAAAGCGTGTCTAATGAAAGTCTGTGCAAGTCACACAAGCACAGGGCAGGCTTGCGCAGGGCAAGAATGCGTACGGTTTTTGCTGCCCAGTTCCAAAGGATGAGTGGGTTCTATTCCGAGTAGTCTTTGGAAATATTTTAATCCAGAAAGCATGCCTATGCCAATTCTCCACACCTCTGTTTATGTACCAATGGGAAATATCTTTTATCCATGAAAGCAAAACACTTGTTTTTCTTTCTGACCCCCGACACGTCTCACGTACAAGGGGAGTTTATTCAATTCATGCTAGCAGAATGAATTAGATGCAGGCTGCTCTTTTTTTTCTTATTAGCATGGTTCTGGTCAAGGTTGACTTAAGGAATTCTTAATAAAACACATTTCCAGCCCATGACTTCATGAATGCTATCCTTGTAGATTCATATATAGTCAGTGGTTACTTTTGAGAAGTCTAAAAATACCAGTTCTTGGCATTTGCCCTAGAACACAGCACGACAGTCATACCATATGGGACGAAACCTGGGTTCTTTGGAACAGAGTCCTCTTTTAGGAGCAAGTCTGCTGCCGCCAGGCTCGCAGCCTCCTGAGCCTCCCTATTTAGGTACAGCATTCCACGCCTATTATTTCATCTGTAGGATTTTGAAATAGCCTGCAGTTTGGGCTTTTCACCACTAGAGTTCAATCTTGCTCTTATCTATACAATGAAATAGGCGAGAATAAAAAAGTATGTCCCCCAAACAAATCACAAATCCCCAAGCACATTATCTAATTCAAGAACAAAGGTCTGACTTTATTATTAATGCATACTTTCTGCCTGATACATCAGGCTTCCTGGTTGGCATTGCTACCAAGTAGAAGAGTCTTCAATGTCACTGCTTAGGAATGAGAATTTCTTTCAAAAAATGATTCAGTCTTGCTCTCTCCCTATGCCCCCTCTTCTTTCTTTTTGTCTATCACTAGAAATTAAACCCAGAGCTTTGTGTCCCAGCCTGGTGTGCTTGTTTCTACATGTGATATTCAGGTGCTAAGGACACAGCTCACTCGGTATAGTAAATCCCAGCATGCACAAAGCCCCGAGTTTGGTTCCCCAGCACCACCAAAAATGGGTGTGGTGGTACATATCTATAATCTCAGAAGTCAGAAGATAGAAGAAAGAAGATCAGAAGTTCAGGGTCATCCTTGACTATATAGAGAGTTCGAGCTCTGCATGAGATACACAAGACCCTGAGCCCTCAAACAAACGAACAAACAAAAAACAAAACAGCAAAATCACCCAAACCCATAAAACAAAATAATGAGTTGGAGATAGGGGTTAAGAATATATACTCCTCAGAGGATACAGGTTCAGGTCTCAGTACCCAAATCAAGAATCCAACAAATATCTGCAACTCCTGTTATAGGGGTTCAACATCCTCTTCTGGCTTCTGTGGGTACGTGCACACATGTGATGTACAAATATACATTCATCACTCATATGCACACATAAAATAAAAATAAACAAAGTGTTTAGTGAAACCACAAGTGTTTTAATTGTTTGTTGTTACAGGACTGATTTACAAGAGACCGTGCATCTAGTCAGTGGGACTTGTGGGTTCAGGGCAAGGAAGTCAGGTCGGTTAGACACATAACCGCCATTCTGGATCTCAAAGGCAATCGGTATGAATTTTGCAATAGATGATACAGATTTTGTTGTCATCTTGTGATTTCCAAATGCAAAGGACCCGTCCATTCTCATCCTCCACCTAAGGGAAACAATTCTAAGTCCTGTTCTGCAGAAATGGGGCCTCCCAAGCTTTACCCACCTAGAGCATCCCAGAAGGATGCATTTCAGAAGCTCATCCTTGGGAACAGAGTCAGTCATGGGGACAGAGACGTATTACCATTCTAGCGCCTATGTCCTCACCCTTTGACGTATGAAGTCTCTTACATGAAACAGACATCTCTGGAAGGATATGCTGGGAGTGAGTCCCCCTTTGCAAGACAGAAATATTATCTCAGAGGCCAACTCAAGTAAAATAGGGGAAAAAACATGTTTATTTACATACTATTATTCTCTGTGGGGCAAGACTGAAACAGAATTCTGAAACTGATATCTCATAATTTAGGCTTAAAAATATCAAAATCCAGTTTCATAAAAACATGAATAACTGTAAGTTTTGTTTCTTAATTGCTTTCTCTTAAGATTTTTATTTATATTGATATTTTACCTGCATGTGCTTGTGTACCACATGCATGAGTTATAGATAGCTGTGACAAAAAGATTACTCACTCATACTGATGGGTCAATAACAAATTATTAGGGTTTAGGTTCTCATTTAACTTTTTCATATCTTTTTTCTTTTCTTTTTTTAATTACTTTATAAATCATTCCAATTAAAATTTCCACTTTCTCCCCTCCTCCCACTTCCCTCCCACTCCCTCCCACACCCTACCCCTCCTCCATTCCTGAGAGAGGGCAAGATACCCTGCCCTGTGAAAAGTCCAAGAGAGTCCTCCCCTCTACATCTAGGCTTAGGAAATTTGTTTGTATCTTTTTTCTGTGCTGGGGATTAAACCCAATGACTTGCACATGGTAGGGAAGTGACATACCACTGAGTAATGTCCCCCAGATTTAGAATAATTTTATACTAATGAATCCTACTTCCCATCAAATACCAGTGTAAACATTCACCTATGATTAGACATTCATTCATTCACTAGATATTTATTAGGCATTTCAAACATGCCTGCACTAGGTTTGCAGAGTACCAAAGGAAACAACAAATGAAAATGCCACCCATCTGTCTACATTTTACGTTAGGACAGGAAGGACAGAATATGAACAGACGACACACTACGTATGATGGAGCACACACATTTTATAGAGAAAACAACTGATGAGGTAAGTGATGGGTGCTTGCGTGCTTGTCATGAAGTTGTAAGCAGAATGGCTGGAGAAGAATTCCAGCAGAAATAATAGCGGCAATAATGGTTCTTAATATTGTGTGTGCCGCTGCACACATTTCCTCCATCCTCACCAGGCACTGAGTTCCACTCCATTTAATGCTCATACCCATTGCATTTTACAGATAAAGAATAAAGAAAATTCCCAACAAGAAGATCACACAGCTTGTTCAAATCACACAGCTAATGGGAGACAAGAACGAACACTGCCAGAGTTCAATATCTTAACCTTGCCATCCTGCTTCTCTTCGGGTCATCCTGCCCACTATGTCCACTTGACAGTCACCATGTAAACTGTTTTAACCTAAGTTTCTAGTCCTGGTTGATTTCAGCCAAAGTGATGTGAAGAGTAACTGCTATTTTCCAATAGCCATTCTCCCAATATAACTTATTACATGAAGTAAAGTTAATTAATGATAAAGTCTGTTCATATATCTAGAATATGTTATCCATCTATTTTAGAAATTTTATAACAGGAAAATGTGGTACATTTACACAATGGAGTACTACATAGCAGAAAAAATAATGACATCTTGAATTTTGCAGGAAAATGGATGGAGCTAGAAAACATCATATTGAGTGAGATCACCCAGACACAGAAAGACAATTATCACATGTACTCACTCATAAGTGGTTTTAAAACATAAAGCAAAGAAAGCCAGCCTACAAACCACAATCCCAGAGAACTTAGACAGCAATGAGAACACTAAGAGAGACTTACATAGATCTAATAATCTACATGGGAAGTAGAAAAAGACAAGATCTCCTAAGTAAATTGGGAGCATGGGGACCTTGGGGGAGGATTGAAATGAGGAGGGGAGAGGCAGGGAGGGAAGCAAAGAAAAATGTAGAGCTCAATTAAAAAAAAGAATTTTTATAACAGCTGACAAATTTTGGTGTGAACTGGTTATTTGCACACACACACACGTGTGTGTATATAAACACTGTGTATGCAAAGATAAGAAAATTAAATCAGACAGTGACAAATATCAGATAAAGATTGACAGAGGATGGCCAGGGTTCAGGAATAGCAGGCACTGAGTTAAAATCCTTACCGTTGTCAGCAACTGGATCTTACCACATGTTCCCAGCAGCTAAGGTAGACAGAAAAGCCATACCAAATTACATAATATTCATTTCCTTTTTGGCAGACCAAAGATGGCAGAAAAAATTATTTTAACTTCTGGAGAGAAGTTTCCTATAACTAAGTTCTTTTAAAAAGCCCCAAGGCTCACAGCAAGGAACAGCTGCAACTTTGCAGGAGACCCAGACTTCTGCTAGAGGATTTTTTTTTAACAAACTCTCTTTAATGAATGAAAGCATACATGAAATTGCCATCTCTCTAGGGAGAAAATGCTGAGATATATGGTCCAGGTATTTTGTGTTCTGTATACCTTATTCAATAATGAGAGACAAAACAGAAAGTGTACACTTAACATTTCCAGAAAATAAAAATATTTAAAAGGGTGTAGAATATTTTTATTTTATATTTTATTTATTTTTCTATTATTTACTTATATATTTATCATATTATTTTATTATTATATATTACTTTTAAGTGTATATGTGTTTTCCCTGCATGTACAGCTGTGAACCGGGTGCAGAAGGCCATCACATCCCCTAGGGCTGGAGTTACAAATGGTTGGAAGCCACCCAGTGGGTGCTGGGAGTTGAACCTGGGTCCTTGGAAACAACAACCAGTGATCTTAACCACTGAGCTCTCTCCAACACCTCCTTTCATATATTTATTTCTGATATTTACTGAGATAATTACAACAACCTACAGGCATATAAATAAGAGGATATAAATATTAAGTTGAGAAAGCATATTAATATCAGTACAAATATTAAGAAGAGAATGCATGTAGAAAGAAGATGTGTTTTCAACTTTGAAAAAAATGAGTATAAGGAAGAACAAAACTATAAAAATTAAATGAAATAAATTCTTCTGTTACCAGGATAAAGGCAGGAGGAATGACTGGGGCCTCCTCTACCCAGAGTTCTCCCTCAAGATCCTTGGGTAAAAAGTCTGAGATTCTTTGCTGGCTGTTGTTTTAGCACCAAGGACAGCGACACACATTCCATCCACTAGGGGGCAGGGTGGTCATACTTTGGAGGGACCTGTAAACAGGCTGAAGGGTTTACAACCCCAGTCTGGCTCTCTAACAAGCCTGAAGCGAGCTCCATCTCCAAAGCTTCAGAAGGAGAAGGAGAAGTGGGAGTGCTGGGGGTTAAGGAGGACAAAATTTTATAATACTCCACAGACAGAACTTCAGATTTCTGTAAAGATGCGGTGGACAATTGACAGCTAAACCTCAGGTTTCTCATTTGAAAACCATAATGTCAAGAGCTAGAAAAAGTGCAAACTATTCGCTATTAGAGGAGCTTTTGAATGATGCAAGCTTGAAGCTGCTCCTCATATCCCCGTACAAAAGTGTGCAGACTGGGAACAGCTAAGTGGCCATTCTAGAAAACACTCCTGGAGCTATTCTGACCCAAGTCATCAAAAAGCCAGGAAGGGAAGCCCTGGGAGGATAGTGCATGCCCCGCTTCCTTGAGTGTCACACACAGGGCTTTAGGGGCAGAAATCCTGGGTTTGGATTTGAAGCTCTCACTTTTCCACTCTACACCATTAAATAAGCAACGATGTCTCTGGACCTTAATTCTGAAACAGGACTAAACAATAGTGTGTGATCTACATCATTGTCGTGGTGACTTGTGTTTGAACACACACAGCTGGAAGTCCCACACGTGTGACTGGTGAGATGAGCTCCCCATGACGTTGATGGTAAATGGACTCTGGGAATTAAGATGCGAAAGCTTGAAAAGAGCGTGGACAGCTCCATCAGATTCAAGACATGCATATAACCATTGCACACTTGTTTATTGACTGAGAACTTATTAAACATCTATAGTGTTGAGTTATGAAAGTAATTATTAAGACAACTAGAAGATATTCTGGCCCTGACTGAGGATTGCTTTAGCCAATGAAATGAGAGCAATGGTGTGTGAAATTGCCAGGTGGCAGGTTGGAAAGCTAATTTGTGTTTGCTTGTCTTGCTGGCCAGCTTTTCTGCGCTACAGCCAGTTCCAAAGACGATCCATCTGTAGAAGGAAGTTTATTTTGGCTCATGGTTTTAGAGGTTCCTGGCCTACTGTTTTAGTTAGGATTTCTATTGCTGCAACAAAACATCATGGGCAGAATGAAGTGGGGGGAAGAAAGGGTTTATTTGGCTTATACGACAGCATTGCTCTTCATCATTGAAGGAAGTTAACACAGGAATTCAAACAGGGCAGGATCCTGAAGGCAGGAACTGTTGCAGAGGACATGAAGGGGGGTGCTGCTTACTTGGTTGCTTCCCATAGGTTGCTCAGCCCACCTTCTTATAGAAGCCCATCAGCCCAGGGATGGCACCACTCACCATGGACTGTTCCTTCCTCCATTGATCACCAAATGAGAAAAATGGCCTACAGCTGGATCTCATGGAGGCATTTCCTCAACTCCTTCCACTGAAGGTTTTGGCTTTTGTCAAGATGACACACACACACACACACACACACACACAACCAATCAGTACACTTACCACTGTGGGAACATGTGATAGGGAAAAACTGCTCATCGTACAGCTGGGAAGTGACACAAACTTCCCCAGTGTCTCTTTCAAGAACATCTCCACAGTCATCTGAAGGCCTCTCCCTGGGCACCGTCTCCTAAAGGCTCTACCTCACTCTGCCAGTAGGGACACTTAAGATATCAAACTATACCACCTCTAAAAAACAATGTGTTTTCAGATATCATATATCCTGCTTGCAATGGTAAATATAAAGATGCTGCAGGATCCCCAGCAGTGGCAGGCAGTGGACCCCAGAACAGCCAGTTCCAGGCAGGGACAGTGCAGTTCCCACACCACAGGTCTCTAAAGGTGGCTGGTTCCAAGCGGTGAGCCATATGGAGGTGGCAGGCAAGAGACAGATGGATAGGCACACCATGCAGAGTGAGGTTAGATATTTATTTAGTGGGTTATAGAGGGGGAAAGAAAGAAGGGGAGAAAAACAGAGAGAGAGGCAGAGAGAGAGAGAGAGAGAGAGAGAGAGAGAGAGAGAGAGACGAGAGGAGAGAGAGATAAAAGGGAGAAAGAGAGACAGAAGCTGCCTCTTCGAGAGAGAGATAGAAAAGAAAGAGGGTCAGGCTGTAAGCAGGAAAAAAGATCTGCCTGCCTCAGCAGATGGGGAAGGGAGTGGGCATGGCTTGTCTCTTAAAGAGACAGAACAGATCATTACATTTCCATCTCTTTTTTATAATAAAAATGTGGAAGGTTAGGCACCACAGATTAAAGGAACTGGGATGGCAGATTCTCAAGACTGCTTTCTGCTTATTTGTGGGCATCATCTTTAGGGGGAACCTGAAAAGGCTGGGTGCTGGTCACATCCTGGCATAGACAGTCTCTTTGCTCCTGTCCAGTATTTGTGATATGGAAATGTCTGGTATCTCTTATACCTGTTTAAGGTATTGGCAGAACAGAGGACAAAGTTAAGTTTAGGGAAAAAAATTTAGGAACAGGGAATTGAGAGAGGTGCATCTGACCTTTTTAAGGTGGATCCTTCAATTTGGCTCTCTGGAACTCACAAGAATTCTTTGGGTTTGTGAAAACAGAAATTTAAGACATATACATTATAAAAACAGTAGCATATTTATGTCAGAATGACTTTGACAGATATTTTTGTACAATGAAAAGTATTTTTCAGACTATGGAAGGTGGCGTGAGAGAGAAATTTGGTAACTTGTATTTGTCCTCACACCTTTATAACTTGTATTTGTATTTTACTGAAATTTGTTTGGTGAGGTTGTCCTTTTAAACTGACAAAACCTCTCAGCTGCCAAACTGCATCAGAGATCTTTGAGAAGGATAAAATTTTTCTTGAGTATCTAATTAAAAGATGACAGGAAACTTATTTGGTTGGCACCTAGAGGTACTCCTCAGTGTCCTCCATGTTTGCTGAAGATTGTTTTTACCTTTTGCTGTTTAGTGCAGGGCCTGCCAGGATCCAGAATATCCTGTGGGCTAAGAAATTTGTAGGAAGACAAGCCTACCTTGACCTGAGAAGCTAGGCTGTTGATTCCAGTGATTCTTTCCACTGTCTGGAGATCTTAAGTTTAGATAAAAGGCAGTTTTGCCCAGTGGTCAGCACTTGGCAGTTGAAGAGAATTGTGGATGGACATTGTTTTGTGCCCATTTGTCTTCTGTCTTCTTTGGAGGAAGTAGAGTGCTGCTGCTAGGAACCAACCTGTCTCTTTTAGTTTGAAAAGTTTTTACATAATTAAATATTTAAATGCCATATTCCCCAGATCTCTGAGCAGTTGAGGGCTGTTTATCAGGTGTAACTACAGTATAGAATCTGCCTGAAGAGCTGGATCTGAGCTTGATTGGTTTAACTTATCAGGTAATATTTACACTCATAAAAAGACAGAAAGAAGAAAAAAACTGCTTG